GTGGCTCCCGGGGCTGCCAGGGGGTCGCGTGGGGAAGGGGTTCGCTATTGTTCTCCGGGCCGAGGCCGGGGGTTTCCATTGTCCTGGGTGGGGAACGGAGCCGCATTGTTCTGCGGGAGGGGGGCTGCACGGCGGGGAGGGGGACGGGGGGGACCGGCCCCCCCGGAGTCCCCGCTCTCCGTGGGGAGGGGGAGCACTCGCTGCTCCGGGGCAGGGGGGCTCTCCCCGCTGCTCTCGGGGATGGGGGGCAGCACTAAGAGGTTCCTCCATTGTTCTCTGCGGGGAAGGGGCGGGGGGGGTCGGGGATGGGGGATCCCGGCTGCCTGTCGGGAGGGGAGGGGGGGTCCCGGCTGCCCTCGGCGGGGGGGTCCCCGTCCTCCTCCTCCTCCTCCGGCGAAGCGCAGCCCCGAGGTGCGCCCGGGACCGCTCCGCATCCCGGGCCGGGGGGAACGCGGCGCACGGAGAGCAGCGGACAGCCCGGGGGGGCTCCGCATCCCGGCACCGCCGGGGGGAACGGGACACGCGGGAAGCGGCGCGGGAACCTCGGGGGGCTCCGCACGCCGGGGCCGGGGCCGGACGGGAGAGCCCCGGGGGGCCCCGACGGGACCCCCGCCCGCCCGCGCCCACCTTGCGGGAGCCGCCGGGGCCGCCGGTACTCACAGGAGAGCGGCTCGGCGCGGGGCAGGCGCGGCAGCAGCAGCAGCAGCAGCGGCAGCATCGCGAGCGGCGGCGGCGGCGGCATGGCCTGCTCCGGTGCCCGTCGGTGCCCGGGGCGGCGGAGCGCACCGGCACGTCCGGGGAAGTCCCGAGCAAGTCTGAGCAACCCCCGGTTACCAAAGCCCCAGCTGCCGCCCTGGCCCCGCCCCGGGACCGCCCCCGGGGGGGCAGAAAGCCACCGGCCCCGCCACCCCCCCCCGCCATCGTCCCGCTCCGGTACCGGCGCCGGGAGCGGCCCCCGCCCGGTGCCCGCCGCCGCCGCGGGATGCTGCGCCCCCCCCGCCCTGCCGGGGCCGCGTCCCGCTCCCCCGACCCCCCCGGTAGGTGAGTAAGAGCCGCTCCGGGGCCGCCGGCCCACGGGTGACTCACGGGACCCTCCCGCGCCCCCGGGGCCGATCGGGCCCCCCCGCCGCGGCTTCCCCGCGCTCCGAGCGCCGCTGGCATCCAAAGCCCGGTTGTTGCTCATCTCTGGGCTGAAAACAGGAACATCGTCCCATAAATCCCCATGTTTTCCATCGAATCCATCATCTCGGGGCTTTCCCCATCAAAACCCCAAAGAAGTGGAGAAAACACCCCAAGTCCCCCCAGGCCGGGGCTGCGTTTGTCCCCAGGGGTGGTGGCGTGTCCGGTAGCGCCACCAGCGCCGGGACAAAGCCACCCACTCGGGCATCCCGCCGTGTCCCCCCCGTGCCCCCGCCCGGGGTCTCGGTGGCACCGGGAGCTTTGCAGACCCCCGGGCGGGTCAGAGACCCCCGGGACAGCGGGTCCTGGCCACGGCAAGGCCACGGTGTGTCCCCGGCTGTAGGGAGAGGGGACGCCGCTCCCTGCCAGCAGTGAGCACGGAGGGTGGCAGGGGACACGCGGGTGGGCTCGGGGCGGGGGGTGACCCCGCGTGGGGCTCCGAGGTGTTGGGCAGCACGAGGGATCGCAGAGATTAAAAAACACAATAAAAACCGAGAGGGGGAGGGAGCCCGAACAATGCCTTTTCCCATCGTCCTGTTTTTTGGAAGCTTCTGAACTGTTTTTGTTGAAATTTCCCAAAAATGTCAGGCTCCGGGAGCCACCCAGCCTGAGAAACTTCAGCCCCAGCGGCCGCGGTCTGGCCGAGTGAATCACGGCTGCCCCGGGGCCGGCGGCCGCCCGCGGTCCCGACCCACGGCCCCGGGAAACCGCGCAGGGAGTGGGGCAGCGCTGGGGGCTGCGGAAAAGGGAGAAAATCCCACTGTGGAGCGGGATGGGGGCTGCGGAAAGGGAGAAATTCCCACTGTGGAGCGGGATGGGGGCTGCGGCCACCCCGGCTGCCCACCTGCACTGCCAGGAGCCTTCCCCCCTGTTTGCTGCCCCGCTGGCCGGGCTGATCAGGGAGAACCCCGATTTTGGGGGGTTTTGGGGAGCCAGGGCGGGGGTGGGATCCCGGGGAGGGGGTGACTCCACCCTGGGGACATGGGTGGCTCTGGGTGGCACAGGCATCATCGGAAGGTGGCTCGGGGTGCAGGGGGAAGGTGCAGGGACGGTGGCAGTGGGAGGGCAGTGTCGGTCCCGACTGGTGTCCCCTGGGACACGGTGAGGTGTCACCCCGGGTGGCACAGGGACCCCCCAGCTCACGCAGCCCCTGTGGCACGGGGCCGGGGCGAGGGCACAGCGGTCCCAAGCGCGGGCAGTGCCGGGACCCGCCCGGGAGCAGCCGGGGGTGGCCGAGCCGCTCTGAGTCAGCGGCGGCCGCTCAGCGCTGCCCTTTGCCGGTGACCTTTACAGCCGCTCCCTCCGGCCCACGGGCCGCGCTCAGGCACCGCCGGGGCGGGATCCAGCCCGGAGCCCCCTCTGATCCCCAGGATCCAGCCCGGAGCCCCCTCTGATCCCCAGGATCCAGCCCGGAGCCCCCTCTGACCCGCAGGATCCAGCCCAGGCCCCCCCCTCTGACCCCCAGGATCCAGCCCGGACCCCCCCTCTGACCCCCAGGATCCAGCCCGGAGCCCCCTCTGACCCCCAGGATCCAGCCCGGAGCCCCCTCTGACCCCCAGGATCCAGCCCGGAGCCCCTTCTGACCCCGGCCGGGGCAGATCCAGCCCAGACCCCCGCTCTGACCCCGGCCGGGCTCTCGCGGTCAGCACGGCGTCCCCCGAGGCCGGGCGGTCCCGCTGCGCCCCCGGCCGGCTCCGTTCCCAGGGCCTCCGTGCCCCGCTCCGTGCGGGATCTGCCCGTGGGGCCCAGGCCCTGCCACGAACGCTCCGCTCTGCCCGGGTGGCCCTGGGGACATCCCCAAAGCCGCCCGAGCATCCTCGGTCCGGCTTCCCACCGGCCGCCGCCTTCCCGCCTCCCTCCATCGTGTGTCACCAGGGCCCCGAATTAATCTAATTACTTGATTTCCCAGCCAGAGCTCACTCCATAAAATCCTTGGACGCAGACAGCATCTGGCTCAAGGGCCAGGGTGTAAAAAACAAACAAGAAAAAAAAGCCCCAAACCCCGGGAAAAGCGGGAAGAGAGGCGCAGCGGAGCTGCCTCCGCTGCCTGCATCCTTTTAAAGTGACCTGGGGGAAAAATAAAGAGGCAAGAAATGCAAAGAATCCAGCAGGCAGAGTTTGCTTTCTATTCCTCTCAGTCACATTTCCACATCCATGGGTAATTTATAACCCGCTTAACCCTTTCCCTGCCGCCCCCCCGCACCCTTTCCCTGCAGAGCATCCTCGGGGCAGCCGCACCTTCCCGCCTCTGTTTGCTTTGGGAAGCACAAACAGTCCCGTGGCGGAGTCTGAGCAGCTCCAGAGGAGGGGAAAAATGTCGAGAGGGTGCTTGAGCACGAGGGATGGGCTCGGCAGGGCTGGGACGCGGAGTGAAGGGGCCGCGGGGACGCCCCGGACAATGCGGGGAGAGCCCGAGGCTCCCCGAAAGGCTCCGGCAGGGAAATGTAGGTCAGTAGTGATAAAGGCGAGAGGCATCGAGTGTTTCTGGAGAGGGGAGGAGGGAGGGCAGCCGGGCTTTGCCAGCTTGGAGGGTTTGGCCCGGGAAAGGCTTTTTCCCGTGGAAAGGTGAGCGGGCGGAGCGCGGGCAGGTGCAGGGGAGCGGTGCCCACCGGAGGGAGGCTCCCGGTGCCCCGGGGCTCGGGCTGCGGCTCTGCCTGCCCTGCCGGGCCGTGATTTACGGTGACAGCCCCAACGTGCCCCGTTCGTCAGCCGTGCCGGACCCGGGGCTGGCGGGGCTCCAGGAGGGGGAAGGGGAGCGCGGCCCCGCCGGCCCCGCTTTGATTAATCAGATGAATAAAGTGGCGGGGCGAGGAGAGGCCCTGCTCCCTGCCCGGGGGGGGACACGGGCTGCGCCCCCCAGCACCCCCGGCCCCTCTGAGGGCACGGAGCACCCTCAGGGCTGAGCTGGGACAGCGAGACCCCCCCTTCCCCCGCCGGGGTCCTGCCATGTGTTCCCCATTAGGGCCGGAGGTGAGCGCAGCCCCCAGCCCCCCTCCTCCTCCTCCTCCTCCTCCTCCTCCTCCTGCTCCTCCCCCCGGGCCCACTTTGGGGTGCTGCCATAAATTAGGGGAGTGGGCAGGGGTGAGGGGGGGTGCCTTTGATGTCCTTTGAAGTCTGGAAAATCACAGCTGTAAATCCGGGGTGTCAGGGAGAGCCGGGGGGCCCTGAGGAGTGAGGATGAGGATGGGAGGCAGGCAGGTGGCTTGGGGAGTCCTGGAGGGACACAGAGGGTGGCACGGTGGGGTGTGACACTGGCTGGGGACCCTCCTGAGGGGTGGGTCCATGTGGGGGCAGCGGGGCAGCCCTGTCCCTCTGTGTGACACCGGCGGGGTGCGACAGTTCCTGGTCGTGGCCTCAGCCCCCTGCTCCCTTCAGTCCCTCTGCGCCAGGGGGGCCCCAAGCCCCGTTGTGTACCCGCGCCCTGATCCCTGCTGCATCCCCCTTAGCCCACGGCCCCCCTACACCCCCTGCTCCCCACAAATCTCCCGGTTCCCACGTCTCCTTGTCCCCCTGCATCCCCCGGTGTCCATCCATCCCCCCATCCCGAGCATCCCCGGTCCTTGGACCCCCCCCGTTCTGCTGCATCCCGGGGTTCCCTCGCCCCCCGCTGCCCGGGCATCCCCATCCTCCCTCCCGCACCCGGGCTCGCTCTCCCCGCCCGGTGCCGGTGCCGGTGCCGGTGCATCTGCGGCAGGCTGCGGCGGCTCCCCCCGCCCCCGGCTCCCCCCGCCCGGCGCACGGCGCGTCACGGCGGGGCCGGCGGCGGCGGCGGCGGTGGGTGCGCTCGGCTCCGCTCCGTTCCGCTCCGCTCCGCGCCCGCCATGGCGGCCCCGGCCCGCCGGCCCCGGGCCCTGCTCGCCCTCGGCCTGGCCCTCCTCGCCGCCGCCGCCGCCGCCACCGCCACCGACCCCTTCTCGCCGCAGCTGGGAGACACCGGCCGGTGCCGCGGGCAGTGCGGCCGCAGCCTGCAGCGCCGGGCCGCCGCCGTGAGTCCGGGGCACCGGGGCACCGGGGGGGCACCGGGGGCGTGGGGAGCATCAGTGGCACTGGGAGTACCGGGAACATCAAGGCACTGGGGGCACTGGGGGGCACCAGGGGCATGGGGAGCATCAATGGCACTGGGGGTACCAGAAGCAAAGTGGGCATTGGGGGCACTGGGGATGAATATTCGGGGCATGGAGGCTGTTAGTAGCACTGGGGGTACCGGGACCATCGGGGCACTGGGGGCACTGGGGGCACTGGGGGTACCAGGGGCATGGGGAGCATCAATGGCACTGGGGGTACCCGGGGCATCATCGTGGGCACTGGGGGCACTGGGGATATTTGGGGACCATCAGTAGGGGGCAATTCTCAGGGGCAATAATTCTAATAATCTCACATTAGAATGGGGTACCAGGAGCAGCAGGGCACTGGGAGCACTGGAGGGGACTGGGGGCAGCAGGGGCAGTGGGGGCACCCCTCACAGGCATCTCTGCCACTCCCCCGTGGGAGCAGCATGGAGGGCACCGGGGCACCACCAGTGTCTCCTCCAGCAGCTTTGGGGCGCCCCCAGTGAGGGCATCCCCACGGGTTTGGGGTGCCCACAGTGTCACCCCTTTACCCTGAGCCTGCCCCATCCTGGTGACATCCGTGTAGGCTCTGTGTGCCCCCCACACCCCCTCAGTGTGTGCCCAGCACCCCAAATCTGTACCTGTCCCCCAGAGCAGTGCACCCACACCTCTGCCAGCCCATGCCAGGGGCTGGATGGTGCCACCACAGTTGAGGGGACCCTTCACGCCCTCCACACCCTCCACACGGACTTGGCCCCATGCAGACCCACAATGGGGGCACCCGGGGGGCTTTGGGGAGCTCTCCCTGCTCTGGGACCCCAGCTTTGGGGTGCCAGCCCTCAGCCCGGCCCCGGGCGGGGGCGGCGCTGCCCGGTGCCCCCCAGCTGGGCACGGGGGTGCGGGAGGGTGTCCGGCTGAGCCCGGTGCCAGCTCCCTGCTCTCCTCCTCCTCGCCGCAGGATGCTGTTCTCAACGCCTGTTACCGGGGCTGCCGGCTGTTCTCCATCTGTCACTTCGTGGATGCAAGCGCCGAGCTCAACACGACCAGAGCCGAGTGCGAAGCAGGTGAGAGGAGCCGCGGCCGAGCGGCCCCCGCGCCCCAAATCCCGGGGGGATCCCCATCCCCACGTCCCACGGGAGCCCCGATCCCGACACCCTCCGGAGCGCCCGCCCCGCGCTGCCCCGCGGCCCCAGGGGAGGGCTGAGGTGCCCTGGGTGGCTCTGGGGACGGGCACGGGGGTCCCCACGATTGGGCACCCCCAACCCCGACCCCTCCTCTCCCCAGCCTGTGCCGAAGCCTACGGCAACGCAGAGGAGCAGTTCGGGTGCGTGACCGGGTGCCGCAAGCAGCTGCCCGAGGTGGAGGAGAGCAGGAAGGAGAAGGTGAAGGGAGATGGGGAAATCCTTCCTTGAACAGGAGCTCAGCACAGCCCCTCTTCTTCCTCGGGATGGGGGACACCCCACATGTGCAGCCCATCCCTCCATGGATCCATCCATGAACCCATCAATGGATCCATCCATCATCCATCCATGAGTCCATGAATCCATCCATCCATCCATCCATCCATCCATCCATGTGCAGCCCATCCCTCCATGGATCCATCCATGAACCCATCAGTGGATCCATCCATCCATCCATCCATCCATCCATCCATCCATCCATCATCCATCCATCCATCCATCCATCATCCATCCATCCATCCATCCATCCATCCATCCATCTCTCCATCCATCATCGTCCATCAGGATGGGAGCTCCAGCTGTGCCAGGCTGATCCAAGCCCCCACTGGTTGCTTTGTCACCAGTCTATAAAGCAAATTAACTGTGCTGAGCTGGGCTTGGGCCAGGCAGGGCGTCCACAGGGAATCCCCAGGGTGAGAGGATCTGACTGGGCATCGTGGCAGATTCCCCCAGTTTTGATTTGTTATCCTTCCCAGCAATCAGCAATGCTTTCCCCTCCTACATTTAATTAATTCAGCTATTGCCCAATCAATTAAATTAGACTTTGGCCCAAGGAGGAGGCTTTTGGCTCCGTGCACGTGCAGGCAAAGATGAATCAGTGCCGTAAAAAGGGTGAAAAGCTCCTTTGAACTCCCCTCCTTTGCAGCCCCGTTTTAAGACCTTCCCAGTGTCTGATCCCATTTCCCAGCCCCTCTCCAAGGCCAGGGATGAGCCCTCACCCCCTCCACCCACCCAAAGCACTTTCCCTCAGGTTCCCAGACGAGCAGGCAAAGCAGATTTAGCATAATAATTAGATACAGAATCTGACCTATTTATTTCCTGTTTGCTGGTTTGACCGTGCAAGGGGCTGTCGGAAAATGTTCGGAGCCAGTGGCAGGGAGCAGCCAAGCGGATTCCAGCAGGGATGCTTTAAAAATAACAAACGGCCGCGACGGCCAAGAATCCAGGGCACCGAGAGGCTGCCAGGAGAGCAACGCCCTCGGCACCGCGGCCGCTCCGCTCCCATTGTCCCCGGCACAGGAGGGAGATCGCACCCCAGAGGGACGGGCCTGGGGCTGGGGGATGGCCCCAAAGCTGGGTGGTCACCCCAAGGATCACAGCCCTTGCTTGGTGACCCTCCTGGGGCTGGAGCAGAGCCTGGAACATCCCTGTGTGTGCTGGGAGAAGCAGAGCCCAGAGCTGAGCCGAGCTCAGCCCAGCCATGACCCCGGGGTGGGATGTCCCCTGTCGGGGTGGGTGACGAGGGGACAGCAGTGAGGTGATGTCCCCGCTCCTTTGCAGAGCCTGGAGCTGAAACTGCCGTCGTTCTCCATGCTGGATTTGGTCTCCAGCTTCTGCAACGACATCGTCAGCTCTGCCCAGAGCTTCATCTCCTCCACCTGGACCTTCTACCTGCAGGCGGACGATGGCAAAGTCGTGGTGTTCCAGGTGGGGGTGTCCCCAGGACCCTTCTGTGGGTGCCCAGAGGGGTGGGGACCCCTTTCCTCACTGCCTTCTCCCTCTCTCCCTGCCGACCCAGTCCCAGCCTGAGATGGAGTTCCCAGCAGCCGAGGCCCTGGAGATCCAGCCAGCACAGCCGGGATCGGGGTCGGGGTCCAGCCCTGGTGTCCCCCAGCCCCACACAGGTTTGGGGGGCTCTGGGCTGCTGGGAGGGGGCTGGGAGTGGGCTGGAGCCTCTGAGCCCTCCTGGCTCCCTTCCGAGTTGTCCAGAGCTGAACAAATTTCCCATTTCTTGGGTCTGTTCAGCTTCTCACACTCCCACCCACGCTGGGGGGATCTGGATGGGGCCCTGGTGGGATCCTCGGTGCCCCCTTAGCGGGCAGGGGGTGCCAGGGGGAGAGGGGAGGGTGTGCCCATGGGTGTGCCCACATGGGTGTGCCCACATGAGTGTGCCCCAAGTTCAGCATCGCCTCTCCCCTGCCAGGCCCCCGGGCAAAGGGGGACAAGCCCCCCGTGAAGGAGCCGCGGGGCAAGGCCAAGGTGCATCCCCCGGAGCCCCCGCAGCAGGAGCACGACTTCCTGGGCTGCATGTCCAAGTAGGTGCTCTGGGACCCGCTGGACGTGGCACAGCAGATCCCCCCCAGCCCCAATGCCCAGCCCGTGCCCTGCCATAAACCCGTGCCTCCTCTTTGGCGGGGGGTGGTGGGGTGCTACAGGCGCTCGGGCCTTCCTCGCTGGATCCTGGCCGCCTGCCTCTTCCTCTCCATCATGGTGATGCTGTGGCTCAGCTGTGCCAGCCTGGTCACCGCCCCCGAGCAGCACGTCAAGACCCAGGTACGGCGTGAGCACAGCCCCAGGGTGCCAGGGACGCCTGGCATGGCCGGGTGGGCGTTGCTGTGCCCTCTTTGTGCTCCCCACGCCTGGCATGGCCGGGTGGGCATTGCTGTGCCCTCTTTGTGCTCCCCAGTCTCTGTGCGGGGTGTGAGGCTCATCCACACCCAGCCCCATGGTGTCCCCAAGCCGGGGGTGATCTGCACCCCGCTCTGGGGCTGCACTGTTGTCTCTGCCTCTCCTGCAGCCCCTGAGCATCAACGGGGACAAGGAGTACCTGGAGGACCTGGATGGCCCCGGCCCTTTCCCGCTGCCGCCCGTCATCACCGTCACCCTGTGCCCCGCGCCCGGCGGGGACGATGCGGGGCCGCTGCCCCTCAAGGTCGACCTGGACAAGACCATCCTGTAGGGCTCCCGTCCCTGCCCACCGCCTCCGCCTCCCTCTCACCGTCCCCACGGCATCGCCCCCCGGCTCCCCACGTCCCCCGGGCCCCCAGGGGCATCTCCGCCTCGGGCCGGGCCCAGCTCCCCTCCCCGGGCCCCAGGTCCCGCTCTGATCCCCCGGCACGGCCTGGTCCCGGGCCCCGCTCTGATCCTCCGGCACGGCCTGGTCCCGGGCCCCGTTCCCCTCCCGGGCACGGCCTGGTCCCGGGCCCCGCTCCCCTCACGGGCACGGCCTGGTCCCGGGCCCCGCTCCCCTCACGGGCACGGCCTGGTCCCGGGCCCCGCTCCCCTCACGGGCACGGCCTGGTCCCGGGCCCCGCTCCCCTCACGGGCACGGCCTGGTCCCGGGTCCCGCTCCCCTCCCGGGCACGGCCTGGTCCCGGGTCCCGCTCCCCTCACGGGCACGGCCTGGTCCCGGGTCCCGCTCCCCTCACGGGCACCGCCGCTCCGGGGGAGGCTCCGGGAGCCGGGAGCGGCTCTGGCTCCCCCAGGGATGCGCTGCGGGCTGGGATCCGGGCCTGCGGAGCCGAGAGGGAGCTGCCAGGGCGCGCAGGCCGCAGGGAGCCCGGCGGGTCCCGGAGCGGGACTCTCAGTCTGCCCCGCCCGGAGCCGCCGGGGCCCCGCAGCCCTCCGGGCACGGCTCCAGCGCTGGGCAGGAGGGAGCCGGCTGCGGTGGGGGATGGAGAGCGTCTGCAGCCTTCGGAGCTTTGGCTCGGCACATCCCCGGCCTCCCACCTTGGGCTGAGCCTCCGAGGCGCCGGCCCCGGCCCTGGGAACTCCCTTCCGCCGGCCGGAGCCGATTGCCTCGGGGAGCCGAAACGTGGCGAATGGATTTGGCCTTGGCAGCCGGAGACGGGAGCGGATCCCGCCGCCTCCGTGCCCACGCCAGCACCCGGCCGGCCCCTTCCCGGAGCTGCGGAGGGGCCCTGGGATGGCTCCTTCCCCTCCGGCTCCGTGATGCCCTTGGGGAGCTGGCCCTGGTGCCAGCAAGCTGCTGGTGGGACCAAGCTGGGGATGAGGCGGCGTTTCCCTGGCTTCAAGCTCGGACAGGAGGTGGGAGCTGCTGGGACGGCTCCATCCTGGGCTCGGCATCCTGCAGGGATGGCTCCATCCTGGCCTCGGAATCCTGCAGGGATGGCTCCATCCTGGGCTCAGCATCCTGCAGGGATGGCTCCATCCTGGGCTCGGCATCCTGCAGGGATGGCTACATCCTGGGCTCAGCATCCCTGCCCCACGCTGGGAGCAGCCTGCGGGGCTGTAGCTGACGGCAGGACCCGGTCTCTGTGTCCCTGGGCTCGCAGTGCTGTCCTCAAAGCGGGCAGTGGGACCAAGCACGGCTCACCCTGGCACAGCCCCCGGGCATGGAGGCATCTCCCCGCTCCCCATCTCCCCCTCATTCTCCACCACTCGATTCCATGCATCGTTCCGTGGTTTGATTTGCACCGGCGTGCGGCTCCTCGGCCCCGGGGACACCCCAGTGCCGGAGGGTGTCAGTCCCGCCACCCCCGTGTCACCTAACACGTCTGTACAGATTAACTTATTACCCCGACCCCTCCTTGGGTTTTTGGGCTCTCGGGGGCCGTGGTGTGCTGGGACCGGGGCCTCCCATCCCCGTCCCCACCGGTTTTGTGCTGCTCCGTGTCACCTCCACCCATCCGACATATCTGGGTTTGGGGAACCGGGTTGGGGGGAGGCGTGGGGGGGTCTCGTGTCCGTTTTGGGGTCCACTTTTCAATGTTGCTTTCCGGCCACGTGTGAAGCTCGGTGCAGTCAGTGTGTGATGTTCCAGCCGCGGCAGCGCCCCCGAAGCCCCGGGCAGGAGCTCCGGGGGCAGCGAGGCCATGGAGCACCCCCGGTCCTGGAGCCCTCCTGGTCCTGGAGCCCTCCCGGCCTGGAGCCCTCCTGGTCCTGGAGCCCTCCTGATCCTGGAACCCTCCTGGCCTCGCCTCAAAGGGCAAACCCAGCCCCGAGCTGGGAGGGGGAATAGAATAAAAGGTTTGTACCAGAGCTGGGTGAGTCCATGGTTTGGTGGGATGCTGGTGCCAGGGTGGGAGCGGGTTTAATCCCCCAGATGGGGCCGGCAGGAGGGCACGGGGCTGTTCCCGTTCTGGAAACTGAGCCAGGATGAAAGCTCTGGCAAACCGGAGAGAAATCCCTGCTGGGCTGCTTGGCATGGGCACGGAACAAAGCTCCTCTCTGCTGCTGGGTTGAGACATTCAGCATCAGGAGTGGGAGGAGAGGCAAGGCCCCCAAACCATCCCCTGCGAGCTGCAAGGAGGGAAAGCCGGGATGCAGCACGGGGAGGGCTCCGTGCACGTGGAAGGGCTGGGAAATGCGGGCTTTTCCCACTGGAAACCACCCGCGGACACCGTTTGGAGCCGCGAAATAATGGGGCCACGCCGGTGTCACGCACCGGTGTCACACCCCAGCACACATGCAGCACCGGGGGGCTGGCACGTCCCACCTTCCCTTTCCCCGGCGTGTGTTTGTCCTGGCGCCGTGCCCGCGGCCCAGCCGGGCTCTGCCGTGCCAGGCACGGCGGGGCAGCTCACGCGAGGCGCTTCGGTAGCCCAGCAGGGTCCCGAGCTCGGAGCCAGCCGCTCCCCCGAGGAGCCCCCGTTTGCCGCGGGGTGCGGAGGTGCCGGGGATGGATGTCACGGCCGAAGAAGGCTCTCCAAAGGGCTGCTCCGCTCCCTGCCAGCGGCCCGCGCTGCCGGAGCACGTCCCTGCCGTGCCACCCCCTGCCCGGGCTGGGGAGGAGGGGAGCGGGGCTGCGCTCGCACCATGGGGACGGGAGGGGTTTGCCCTACATGGAGTGCGCGGGGATGGCGTTCCAGATGTGTGGGGGGATGCCCCGGGCAGCCTGGGCCCTGTGGGGCTGGCATGGAGGCACAGGGGTGCTATGGCCACGTTCCCCAGCCTGGCATGGAGGCACAGGGGGTGCCATGGCCACGTTCCCCAGCCTGGCATGGAGGCACAGGGGTGCCATGGCCACGTTCCCCAGCCTGGCATGGCAGGCACAGGGGTGCCATGGCCACGTTCCCCAGCCTGGCATGGCAGGCACAGCGGGTGCCATGGCCGCGTTTTCCAGCCCACAGTGGGATCTGGGGGCTTGCACGGTGTCCTCAGCAGTGCCTGGGGTGGGAGGGCAGCAAAAGAGGGAAGGGCTGAGAGATGGAGCCCGGCACGGAGCAGCTTTTGAGGTGGGCACAATCTGATGGATCAGGGGTAAAAACCCCCTGGCCAGGCCCAGGTCACCAAGTGCCCCTCAGAGGGCAGGGACAGCCCTCAGGGGGTGTCTTTGTGCTGAATTTTCACAGGAAAATTGGCAGGAAGGCCCCAGATCGGGGCAGACAGCTGGCAAACCCAGGCCAGGGCAGGCAGCAGCTCTGAGTGTGTCCCCTCCTGGGATGGCTGCAGACCGTGGACAAGCTCCTCGTCTTTAAACTGGAGTCAGATTCCTCCCTGCTGGCTCGGGGTGCAGGAAACCGTGCCCAGGAGCAGGTGAGGAGGCACCCCGCTCTAACGAGAAGGAGACGCATGAAATCCGCTGGTTCCACTCCCCCCAGCAGGCAGCCGGGGGCTTTTCCAGCCTTTTCCTTCTCGCTCCCGCTTTCATTTGTTCACAGGGGAAGGGAAATTCCTGGTGTGTGGCCATGGGCAGGCTGTGAGGAGTCACCCTCCAGCCCGTGGTGGTGCTGAGGGCACGGGGTGGGTCACGTCCTTGGGGTGAGCGTGTGTGTGCCCACGTTCACATCCATGTGTCCATCACGGTGTCCTTGTGTCCATCACTGTGTCCGTGTGTCCATCACTGTGTCCTTATGTCCATCATGGTGTCCTTGTGTCCATCACCGCGTCCTTGTGTCCATCACCGTGTCCTTGTGTCCATCCTCACGTCCTTGTGTCCATCCCCATGTCCTTGTGTCCATCACTGTGTCCTTGTGTCCATCCCCATGTCCTCGTGTCCATCACTGTATCCTCATGTCCGTCCTCATGTCCTCGTGTCCATCCTCATGTCCTCGTGTCCATCACTGTGTCCTTATGTCCATCCTCATGCCCTCATGTCCATTACCATGTCCTTGTGTCCATCCTCACATCCTCATGTCCGTCACCATGTCCTTGTGTCCATCACCGTGTCCTCGTGTCCATCCTCATGTCCTCATGTCCATCCTCATGTCCTCATGTCCACCCTCCCACCCTCATGCTCATCCTGATGTCCTCGTGTCCACACTCACCATTATGTCCACATGTCCACGCTCACACCCTCATGTCCACGCTCACCTCTGTGTGTCCACATGTCCAAGCACAGCTCCACAACTAATCCCAGGTGTGTCTGTGGCAAGAAGCAGCCCCAAAAAGTGGGGAAAATCCAGCAAGTTTCCCCCTACACTTCCACCCAGAGGCCTGTGGCCTCTCCCTCTTGGCTGTGGCTCGGTGTCTGTGCCAGCAGTGGGTGCTGAAGGTTTGGGGGTCCCACCAGCTGTAATCAGGGTCAGCACCCCCCCGGCTGCTCTTGGTGGCTGCACTGGGCTGCTGCTGTCCCCTCCAGAAGATCTCAGCTGCCGGGAGCTGGCCGGGCTCCACCAGCTCACACAATGCCCGAGGAGCGGGGCCAGGCAGGGATTTCCCTCCCCTCCTGCCATCTGCTCCCAACGTGCCTTTGTCCCTGTTCCTCACCCCGTTCTCCTCTGGAGCATTCAGCTCCCTGTCCTGGAGCCCTGGGCCTGCTCCTCCAGGATGTCCCTGCCTGGGGACAGCACTGGGGTCCTTGGGAAGCCTCAGAGGGCAGAAACCGCAGGATTGGGTCAGCAGGGAGGAGAAGTCCATGTGCCAATCCCCCTTTTGATGGTTTGGGACCAAACTTTGATGGATTGCCAGGACACAGCTGCAATCCCAAATTCCTGACCAACACTCGGAGCTGTAAATTCTCTTCTAACCCCAATGGAGATAAATCCCCACCCAGGGATGGAGAGGGGATGAGGAGGTGACAGGGGAGCTGGACAAGGGCTCAAAGCACCTTCCTGACCCCACATGTGGAGCTGAGCCCTTTCCCTTACAAATTCTCCTTTGAATTGTGCCTGGAGCCAT